TCTGCCTGCTTTGAAGTAAGATTACAAAAGCCTTTTCCTTGACATTATATAGTTAAAGCATAGCTGACTATTCACTAAACAAAACTGCTTTGGATAACTGACTCACAGGCCCCTCTCTTATCCTGTATACCTGGAAGGATGCTTTGTCAATGTCCTATTAGATTCAAAGTTGTAGGGTAAATGATCTTTGTTCAGCTGCTGCTATTTTGCACCTTTGAGACATTTTGTAAAGATTATGTCGTTCCACACTGTAACCCTTCTATGAGAAAAGTATCATTCCCCCCCCCCCCAACTTCATAGGTAAGAAATTAAAGGTCAGAGAGGAAAATAAGATCACACAGCTGTCCAATTGTCAGGGAAGTTATATTAGAGTTTGGATGGTCACCTGGTCGACTGACTTGCAGCTTTTCCCACCCACAAGGCAACTCCAGAGTTTTCTGTAAATGTCTTTATCTTAAAAACAAGGACAAAAACTGTAAGTGGTGGTCTTCCTTTCTTACATGGCTCAGATAATTAGAATTTTCTATAGCTATACAGAAATCTAGGAGTTTTTTGGAATCAAATGCTCATTTCCAATATTATAATCTAATTTCTCCATTGCTTCTTAAATATGGTAGATATTTGGAATCCAATAACCCATGATGTTGAAGATCGAGTTTCTCTAGAATGAGAGCAGGTGGCATTTTTATTTCTTTGTGTGTTTTGCTGTTGTTGCTTTGGGTTATGTATATTTGATGTTTTCATTTCATTAAATACTCAAAGATGAAGTTCAAAAACAGTTTACTCACAGTGCAATGAGCTGTAACAAATGGTAGGCCACTGTAATGTTGTGGATTTTAGAGTACAGTTTTGTATAGATGCTTTTTCTGTAGTAAACTCACATTAAAATTTTTCAGAAGCTGTTTTTTTTTTTAATTTTTTTTTTCAACTTTTATTTATTTTTGGGACAGAGAGAGACAGCATGAACAGGGGAGGGGCAGAGAGAGAGGGAGACACAGAATCGGAAACAGGCTCCAGGCTCTGAGCCATCAGCCCAGAGTCCGACGTGGGGCTCGAACTCTCGGACCGCGAGATCGTGACCTGGCTGAAGTCGGACGCTTAACCGACTGCGCCACCCAGGCGCCCCTAGAAGCTGTTTTAAGAGAGAACATAAGTAAGATCAGCATTCTGGTGTAATTTCAAAGCGCAGTGTCTGATAGAGAGCTTGGACACTAAGAATTTTGGTTTGCTAAAAGGATAGACTGCAGTAATATATTCAGTATGGAAACTAACATCCAGAATCTTCTTCCTGACTAATATTTAGCAAGATTAAATTTATTCTGTATTATAGAAATCATTCTGAATAAAGGAAGAAAATTACCATTTATATGTATGGTAGCAGAGAAAATTTACAACGCTTTCGTATTTATGTATTATTTAGGCTAGTAGTATACATTTTAGTAAGACCAACATAGTAAGACATGTTAAAAGATTCCAGCTTATCAGTGTGAGTATTCTCATCATTTCATGTCTGTTTGACCTCTAGGGGTTTTTTGTTGGTTTCTTGTTTATTTTTTTAAGCTAAATTGAGTTGGCAGGGTCCAACTGGCACAAAACTTGATGGTTACCTATTTAAGTGGCTTTGGGATATTTATGTCTGTGGTTTGTATTTGGCGATATAGTTTCCCTATTTTTATGTCCTCTCTATATAGCCTATTTTCTGTATAGGCTTTTTGAAGCAATGCTAACTGGAGAATAAGTAGAAATTTAGAGAGGATTAACCAACATTTTGAAGTTCAAGAGTATTGAAAATGATAAGTTGCTTAAAAGTAGGTGGCAAAGCACTGCTTTGGATTCTATGTCTCCCTCTCTCTCTGCCCCTTCCCTGCTTGTGCTCTGTCTCTCTGTGTCACTCAAAAATAAATTTTTTTTTAAATTTTTTTTTTCAACGTTTATTTATTTTTGGGACAGAGAGAGACAGCATGAACAGGGGAGGGGCAGAGAGAGAGGGAGACACAGAATCGGAAACAGGCTCCAGGCTCTGAGCCATCAGCCCAGAGCCCAACGCGGGGCTCGAACTCACGGACCGCGAGATCGTGACCTGGCTGAAGTCGGACGCTTAACTGACTGCACCACCCAGGCGCCCCTCAAAAATAAATTAAAAAAAAAAAAGTAGGTGGCAAAGCATAGGGAAATTTATGAGGTTTGAAGGCAAATATCCACATTTTATTAGGACCTTCTTGATTGTAGTAGATCTTTGGGATCTCAAATTTAACATGGGATTTCACTTATTGGCAAGAGAGGTCATGAAGTATAGTAATTTATCACTTTGCTGAAGAATGTATTTGAATCACGTCTCTATTGAGGCTGATGTGTATGAGCCCAACCTAGAATCTGGATTCATCCCATCACTCTGAGTTTTTTACTTAAAAGGTCTTCAACCATGGGTTGTAGCCATGGCTGATGTCCATTTGATGGAGTGGGAAAATTTGGAAGGCATATTCTGTATGATTTGTGTAAATCAGATCTTGTATAAACCCGATCTTCTTAATCAGGTTATGTACCTAAGAACAATGAGAAGTTTCTCAGGAACTTTTGTGTGTGGAATCTTGTATAATTTCTTAGAGGTTTATAAGGGGAAAAATGTAGGCTACAGTCTCTAAGGAAGTTTATACCCTAGTTATGCATTTCATATAATTTCCTACAAAGTTCACATAAATCACATAGTTATAATTACATAGTTATGCATTAGTAAGTGTTCCATTTTATTCATTTTTCAACGCACTAATGCTTTGAAGTAAAATAAGCAAATATTATAGGGGCGCCCGGGTGGCTCAGTTGGTTAAGCGTCCAACTTCAGCTCAGGTCATGATCTCACAGTCCGTGGGTTTGGACCTGGAAGCCTGGAGCCTGTTTCAGATTCTGTCTCCCTTTCTCTCTGCCCCTCCCCATCTCACACTCTCTGTCTCTCTCCCTCTCCCTCTCTCTCTCTCAAAAATAAACATTAAAAACATTTTTTTAAAGAAAAGGAAGAAAAAATTATAACATTACAATTAAGATTTGTCATGGAGGACTTCTTGGAGGAAGTCAACTTTGAAACAAACCCATCTATATCCCCTTGTTCAAGGGTATTCCATACTCACAATGAGATCTTAGGCAAAGGACAACCTTAGTGGTAGATGGATTGAACAGTAAACTCAGTAAGCTGCATGGTGTGATTTCACACACAGGGATAGTCTCTTAGTACTGGTGCCTAAGTTCTCCTCATAGTTTGGACAGTTCTTTACCTCACAGCTTTGTCATCTGTTGAGAGAAGTACTGATTCAGCCACTTGCCTTTGAAGGCAAATGTTTTTTGATCTTTTATTTAAAAGGACACAATTACTTTGGCTCCTGGGGATTGCCTGATATACAATGACAACTTTACATTTTCAGAGGCATTTTTAGAGTGAACAGATATTAATGAGGATCATTTTTTGAAAAAGGGGCCCTCTAAGAGCCTCTTTGTGGCTTCAGTATTCCAAGTTATTTGGGGGAAATTCTATTTTGAGCTCAGGACATGAAAACCGGAAGTAGATGAAAGGGTTTTATTTTTAAAGATGTGATATATACCTACAGTGGAATATTATTCATTCTTTAAAAAGAAGGAAATCCTGCCATTTGCATCAATGTGGATGAATCTAGAGGACATAATGCTACATGAAATTAGCCAGACACAGAAAGACAAATACTAACGGTCCACTTATATAGAATATTAAATAGTCAGATGCATCAAAGCAGAGGATGGAACAGTGGTTGCCAGGCAGAGGGGAAGGGGAGAGATGTTGGTCAAAACACACACAGTTTCAGTTATGCAAGATGAGTAAGTTCTGGGCATCTAATAGGCAACATGGCAACTATAGTTTACAGTACTGCAGTATGCACTTGAAATTCACTAAGAGGGTAGATCCTACCCTCACCACAAAAACTTAGAAAGAAAGAATGAAAGAAAAAAAATCATAACTTGGTGAGGTGATGAATATGTTAATTACTTGATTGCGAAGATCATTTCACAGTATATATGTTTATCAAAACATCAAGTTGTACACCCTACATACACAGTTTCTGTTTTTCAGTTATAACTCAGTAATCCTGAGATATAAAAAAACAAAGATTAAAATACTATCATGTCTGTTTTCATACCGTAATGAAAAAACCAAAAGCAATGATGTTAGTTTTGGATTTTTCAGCTTGTTGACCTCTAGATCATAGGAAGAAGAATCTACCAGAGTACCAGAGCACTTAATTTCACTGGAATAAGTATAAAGAATGAACATAGGAGAATTTTCAAAATGCAGGATGCTAACCCCAAAGGACAGATTTAAATCTTGGAGGAAGGTGTCTTATGTATTTTGTAAGAGCACCCACGTTTATTTTGATATGATGCCATCATTGAGAAACGCTCCGGAATTGTACTTTAAGGGGGCTATTAAAAATCAGCCCTTAAGGCATGCTCATGATTTATCAGGTTTGATGGCTGGAATTAAGTCATGATGTGAAGATGCAAATGCTAGCATTATTCAAGCACTGGTGGACAACAGTGATGTTCTGGAATATTCTACTCCCACTCACTTCCACCATAACTTTCTAGGTTAAGTTTGTTGTTAAAAGAATTACACTTGACCCCTTGGCCCTATAATAACCTCTCTGAAGAAGGGATGTGTAGCATAAAATGTTAATCTTTGGCCAGAATGGCTTTGTTCCCTTTCTTATATATGTTTAATTATAATCTAATAAGGCAGCTAAACTTCATCAGCTTGTTTGTTTTAAAGAATTAGGCTTCATAAACAATACAACTTTACCCATACTTGCAGGGAGGGGGATAATGAATTGTTTGAGTATTATTAAGAGCAATTTCTATAAGTACCTTCTAGAGTACCCTGACCAGAGAAGCTGGAATAATTACAGAAAATGGTTGTGCTATTTGCTTTATCTTATATCAGGCTTACCGACATTGATTCTTTCTGTTTTTCCTCCCCTCAGATGTACATCCAGACAACAACACTTACTGTCTCCATGAGTTTAAGTGCTTCAGTGTCTCTGGGCATGCTGTATATGCCCAAGGTTTATATTATAATTTTTCATCCAGAGCAGAATGTTCAAAAACGCAAGAGGAGCTTCAAGGCTGTGGTGACAGCTGCCACCATGCAAAGCAAACTGATCCAAAAAGGAAATGACAGACCAAATGGAGAAGTGAAAAGCGAACTCTGTGAGAGTCTTGAAACCAACAGTAAGTCATCCGTAGACTTTCCGATGGTCAAGAGCGGGAGCACTTCCTAATAGATGTACGTTGAACATCTTCTTCTTCTAGTCTTGGGGACTGTGCTGCAAGGTTCCAGGAGCATGATGGTACTTGCACACCATAAGACCACAACAGCAGTTAGAACCATTTGGTTAGAACCAAATGATTTTAAGGCGAGTGGCCCTTCTTCAGAGCATAACCATGCACACAAAATCTCTTTTTCAAAGCATGACACTCATGTCTCCCTTTTGAGGCATTACCAAGCATCTGAAGCCTAGAACTATCTTCCACTTATTGAATTACCTTTTAGTACTTACGAACTACCTTCCAGTCTTTGTTAGTTCAATATTGGTTGCTCTTTATGGGTTTATTGGTTGCTTAAAGATCTTACGCAAGTAAGTTATATGCAATGTAGGTATTTAGGGAAATGAAACAACTAGTGAGCCAGCATGTTAGGTTAAATTATAGTTAATACTTATTTTCCCCAAATGGCCCCTTCTTGGACATATTAAGATAATTAGAGCTCTTCTCTGAAAGCCTCATGACCCTGAAAATCCTCTGAAAGCCTCATGACCCTGAAAATCCTTTCTGCAGCCACCATTCCACTTGTCCTTCCCTCACCTACCTTCCTCTTCTGTGTAATCACCCCTGAAGAAGCACATGGTAATGATACACCAGTACCAAGCTAACCCAGTAGAGTTTAACTGGTCCCTCTTGGTATCTATGGAAGAGTAGCAAATAGGTTGAAGATCTGTATTATAAAATACCAGATAGGGGCGCCTGGGTGGCGCAGTCGGTTAAGCGTCCGACTTCAGCCAGGTCACGATCTCGCGGTCCGTGAGTTCGAGCCCCGCGTCGGGCTCTGGGCTGACGGCTCAGAGCCTGGAGGCTGTTTCTGATTCTGTGTCTCCCTCTCTCTCTGCCCCTCCCCCGTTCATGCTCTGTCTCTCTCTGTCCCAAAAATAAATAAAAAACGTTAAAAAAAAAATTAAAAAAAAATACCAGATAGCTGAGTATAGCTAAAAATATATATATATATAATCTTTATATTACATTTCTATAGATGGGTCAAAAAATATAAAAGCTAAGGTTCTTGCATTAGACCTTAGATTTCCTGTCTTTTGGAAATACAACATACGTATCTAACAATGAAGGATAAAACCCTATGCAAAAATACTCTCTTCCTCTCAGAATCTTCCAGGGGGCTGTATTCCCTATTCTCTGTACTTCTGACATGAAATACAGAGAAGATTAAGTGTGGATCTTATTTGATTTAGTGATTCTAACAACACAGAGTCTGCACTAGATTTATAAGCCTTTCCTTACATCAAGATTTGCAACTAAACATTGTCCACTCTATTGCCCCACATGCAAAAATGGGCTTAAAAGATAAATATGGATCAATTAGGCTTATTGGCTACAATAATTCCAAGTCTTTTTGGAATTATTGGTCAGATTTTCTGGGAAGATTGCCTTCAGCTCACTAATAACTAAATTTAGTCTTCTTGTAAATAAAGAAGCCTTGTAAGAATTCCACAAACATTCCCCACGTATTCACCTTTCTGCAAACATGAAACCCTAAGAAACTGCAAGAGAAGTCATGATAAGGATGGGTTTTTGTAGCAAATGGTTATAATCATCTTTGATTATAGGTAAGCAATTTAGTAATAATGGGCCTATTTGGTCTTTTAGCAAAAGATGCACTATAACTACTATCAAAAACGTCAGAGTTCAATGCTTGCGATTTGAGGGCAGAATTTTACCTGTGTTTTTCTACCTTGAAAGCATCAGTGCAGCAAGTTAAAACTCATTGTAGGATGCCAGTGGACTTCTATTGGCCAGCTGTTGGCATTTCCTACTATAACTCATCACCGTCTATAGTCGGACTTATTTTTTAGCAATAATCCAGAAAACTTTATATAATATGGTTGCAAATGGGAACAACCAAACATACACTGAAATAAAATTGGTTACCCCAGATGGACTTCTGGAAAGTGGTGGGAGAAAAAAGTCAATAAACTTTTTCCACACTTTAAAAAAATAAATAGGTTCCCTGAAGAGGAATATTCCAAGCTCTGATAAAGATTCATCCCATATATAATTGAAGTAAGTCTCATATGTTTCGTTGTCCTTCTGTTATTTTATGTTGATGTTGAAATGGAAATTATGTAGCAAGCATGCATTTCCCTATTTTCTCTGAAATAAGAATGAAAGGTTTTAAATGTAGGGGCTGTATGGAAAGTAAGCCTGTACAATTCTGGAGGAGTCAGGTGCTCACTTTGGGAAGGTAAAAGAAAGTACAAAAGGTGAATCAAGGTAAAGCCAATTGTTACCTGAAAGACAGTTAAACTGTACTTTGTGACTTTAGTATATTCATCTTGTATAGTAGTTTGGATTTTGATAAATTGGGTCCAGATGATGTGATTATAGTGTATACATTCAGGAGAGACAGTGTATGAAAACTTCACAATCCCTCTCCGGGTAACCATTGTTGACCTTTGTTCACTTGCATAAGAAACTTTCATGGACTCCATGTGTTCCCATGACCTTTACTACATGTCCTAGTGGTTTTAATTGAGGCAAAAGTCTTCTAAAATCACATTCTCTACAAGTATCAATAACCCTAATCACTTAAATGCAGAGCTTTTCTTCTAAAAGTGTGTCTCATGTCTTTAGAAGTAGAATTGAATATTGGAAAAGCCTTTGTCCTTCAACTCCCTGTAACTAGGACCATACCTCCTCAGATTTAAAATAGCTTCTCTTGAGATGGGTGGAGTCCATTCTCAGGTCTCAAATCAAGGGCTAATTAATCCACTGGAACAGTATCCATGTTGCTGCATTCTCATACTTTCTGCTATGAGACTTGTGAGAAGTCACCATTACTACAGTGAGGTGATAGTGACACATGAGAAAGTATCTTGTAAACTACAAATCACCATATAAGCAAGGTAGACATGTCATTGCTGCGTTGAAAATGTAGATTGCTCTGTCATTAATAGAAAAAGACGTAAAAATCAAAAACTACTATTTTAGCATTCCTCTTTCTTCTTTTTAACATGTGGAGGATTTTGACAATTATGGCTACTATCCCACTGTTGAGATTTTTTTTTTCTAATTACCAATGTATTTATGACATACATGCAATAATGCTTTTCCTTCTGGGGTGCCTGGGTGGCTCAGTTGGTTAAGCATCCAACTTCGGCTCAGGTCATGATCTCATGGTCCGTGAGTTCGAGCCCTGCATTGGCCTCTGCGCTCATAGCTCGGCCTGGAGCCTGTTTCAGATTCTGTGTCTCCCTAGTTCTCTGCCCCTCCCCACTCATGCTCTGTCTCTGTCTCAAAAATAAATAAACATTAAAAAAAAATTTTTTTTGATAACGCTTTTCCTTCGTGTCCATGAAGTCTATAAATCCATTACACTTAGAAACTTCATGGTAAAGATTATTTGTTAATGCCAGAAATTCTGGCCACATAATTAAGGTCTTAAAGCTTCAAAAGCTATACAAAGTATAAGTAATGTGAAGCGTGAAGGGAGACCAATGAGTCCATGTTAATTACTGAATTTGCAGAGTACTACATTTCACAAAGAAGGTCAAGTGTTGTTCCATAAAAGCGTGTGGGAAGGGAGTTAGAAACAAAGTTGACTTGTATGAATTTATCAACTGTACCCAATTAACAAATGCTGTTAACATGGTATTCCTTAAGCTATGTTCATGAATAATTCATGAGCACAGCTGCTTCTGGAGGTGGAACTGCTTTCTGTAACTTATGAGCACAGTGTGGTGTCCACAAGGCAATTCACTATTGCTGTATCCCCAAACCGATTGTCATATAAGCTTAGTCACTGCCACTGTAAAAACTCCCTAGTAACTCACATGTACATCTCTGATCCATTTCACTCTGTAATACTTCCAGGATAAAGATTCTCACAAGACTTCTGCCTTCCACACTCTGTCCCTCATCATTGTTTTCAACTTGACTAAATCATCCATGTCCACAGCCTTTTATCTAACCATTAGAAAAATTAAGATGACTTTCCTTTTGTAAATTACAGTCTCATTTCTCAGTAGAATTCTACCATCTTTTTCCCTGGAGATAACTTCAAAGAGTTCAAAAAATGAAGTATGAGTCTCAAAGTTGGAATGGTCCTTGAATGGTCTGATCCAAATCACTTTCTGTTAAATTAACATCTTCTGAATACCATCTTCTTCAAGGTCTTTTTGGCTCTTGTTCCTCTATTTTGGCCATAATTTTTCTTTGCAGGTATCTACACACTTGATAAATATTTCCTACATTTTTAGCTACTGTTGAGGATATTGAAGAGGACAGGAAGTTGAACAAGCATTTTGAGGGTTATTTTTCTAAGTCTTATGACAATTTTTCTTCATCTTTCTTCAAAGACTATATGAAAGTCCTTCACAAACACAGTTGAAGTACAGATTTCTGTGTTTGTGTTTCTTACAGGAAATTTAGAGATATATGAGAGCATTATGTATTTAGAAATAGGGGCACCTGGGTGGCTCAGTCAGTTAAGCATCTGACTTCGGCTCAGATCATGATCTCGCAGTTTGTGAGTTTTAGCCCCTCATCTGCACCATCAGTGCAGAGACTGAGATTCTCTCTCTCCCTCTCTCTCTCTCTCTCTCCCTTCTCCACTTGTGCACACACTCTCTCTCTAAAAATAAGTAAACTTTAAAAAAAAAGAAATGAAAAATATTTAAGCGCACAAGCATGAAAACCATCGTATTTCCCTTCATGCCAAACCCGATGTAACAGACATGTAGTCTTTTGGAAGGGGTGAGTAGGAAAGTAGGATTCCATAGTCATTCTCCCGCACGGCAGCCAGCCGCTTCTCCACCAACCTACTTCACCTCCATCCTCACAAAAACCCAGAGTTGTGGGTTTTGGAACAGTGATGAAACTGAGGCCCAGTGACTTGGTTCACTGATCTTTTTAAGCTCATTTTATAAGGAACAGAATGTATTTAAAAATTTTTTTTTTCAACATTTATTTATTTTTGGGACAGAGAGAGACAGAGCATGAACGGGGGAGGGGCAGAGAGAGAGGGAGACACAGAATCGGAAACAGGCTCCAGGCTCTGAGCCATCAGCCCACAGCCTGACGCGGGGCTCAAACTCACGGACCGCGAGATCGTGACCTGGCTGAAGTCGGACGCTTAACCGACTGCGCCACCCAGGCGCCCCCAGAATGTATTTTAAAACCAGGTCTAAAACCTCCTTCCTTTCCATGTGCCACAATAACCTAGAAGTGTGAGCAATGGAGATGAGAGAAGCAGATATGACAGCTAAGTTGGGCACGAATCTCATAATATTCAATGAAATAAAAAATAGTAAAAACATGTATGCTTTGGGGCTCTTGAGTGGCTCAGTTGGTTGAGTGACCGACTTTGGTTCAGGTCATGATCTCACAGTTCATGAGTTAGAGCCCCACGTTGGGCTCTGTGCTGACAGCTCAGAACCTGGAGCCTGCTTTGGATTCTGTGTATCCCTCCCTCTCTGTCCTCTCCCACTCATGCTCTGTCTCTCTCTCGCAAAGAAAAAATAAATATTAAAAAAAATTATTAAAAAAAAACATGTATGCTTAGCACTTCCTTAGACTCTCTGCATTTATTTTTTTCTGACGGTGAACTTTGATCTCAGTCTCTGGTAAGAACTTGTCTGGTCAATTATGATATTGATGTAAATGAAAGTGGAATGAGTCTGATTGCCAGTTGTTTCAAAGGAGGAGCTTTATAATGTGCTTATTTAATATTCAAGAACTAAATAATTCTCTAAAAATCTGTTTCATCCTGAATTGGATTTATGTAGTGAAACATACACATGTTTAGCATCATTTCATATCTTTCCTCTTATGATTCTGCATTCCAGAATCCCACGGAAAAATAGGACATCACATATGAAATTTAGAACAGAGATTTATTCCATCACATCTTTCAAAAAACCAAAGGAATTATTTGGATTTAAGTTGATATTCTCTGAAAATGTAGGCATGAGTATAAATTTGAATTAGAATACTTTGTTATTCATATTTTTCTAATAATCCTACAATAATAGGTTTTACTTCATAGTGAGTTGGTACCAGAACAATTAAATATTTATTTCCTTCTTTGAGCCTTTTTTATTTTTAAGCATCTCCATTTGTATCCTTTGTTGGAGCCAGAACATAAATATGTATTGGCAATGCACATATTTACTTTAATATTTACAAATATTCCCTGTACTTTATATTTTACTATGTTCTCTTCTAGAGTCTAAAAGCATTATTTCTTTTTAAGTGGAAAATACTCATTCTCAAAGCACAACTAGTTACACTTACCTGTTTTTGGTCATCAAATCAGACTCAAAGACTTGATGTCTTTTACTTAGGTTTGTAAACGTTTTTTTGTCTTTTGCAGGACAGATAATTTATGTGTTATTTCATTTTTCATATTGTATATCTTTGTTACTCAAAACACACATTTAAATTGAATTTCACCTAAATTTATTAAAGATTAGGACTTTTCCATTTTTAGTTTTCTGCTAAACACTTATACTATAAATAAGACCAGTGGTTTTACAGATTAAAATTGCTGCTGCATTATTATTCCTGTGATCACCGATTTCCTACTACATGATTTAAAAAGTAACGTGTAAAAACCAAATATCATAAAAGTGATGATTATAGGATGTGAATTTTAAAATCATTTTAGCAAAACAATTTATTACTATATACTATTAATTTGTCTTACTTTGTCTTAACAGCTTCCTCTACTAAGACAACATATATCAGCTACAGCAATCATTCAATCTGAAACAGGAAAATGGTAGAATATGAAGAAATCTGGTACGTGATCTTAATAAACATGACACCACCAAAACCCACTCCTGGAGATCTCTGTAGACTACAATCAATCAAATCAATAGTCAATCTTGTAAGGAACAAAAAGTAGCCATGAGCCAAAAGTATCAATAAACAGAGTGAAAAAAAAAAACATTTTATACAGTACAACCAATGAGTGTCGAGCTAAAATATTGCTTACTCATAAGCAGTTTAAAAAAAATCACAAAAGGAAAACTAATGTTAGCTTGTGAAAAAAAAATGCTGTTGAAATAAACCATGTCTGATGTTATTCTTGTAAGTATTTTTCTGTGATTGTGAGAACTCCCGTTCCTGTCCCACCTTGTTCAACTTGTATAAGACAATGAATCTGTTTCTTGTAATGGCTGACCGGATTGAAGCCCTGGGTTGTGCTAAAAATAAATGCAATGGTTGACGCATGCACTTTTTTTATACAAATAATTTATTTCTAATAATAAAGGAATGTTTTGCAAATGTTGAGAGTTGTTTCGTTCCAGTTTTAAAGACAAGGAACACTCTTTCCAGTCGGCATTTCTGCTGTTAGCTCCTGAGGTAGAAGCCTTAGTACTCCATGGTAATACAACTTCCTCAAGGACTGTGATTTTGTACATTCATGTGTACATGAAGAAGACTGTCTTTTATTCCTCTATTAAAAAGCATTATTTGTGTAAGATTTTGCGAATGTTTCAAAATCGATGTGGTACCTTTACATAGTAATTGCTTTTTTATGAATAATCAATCAATAGCTTGAGGTAAATTGCCTCAAGTATTATAATTAATGAATGAGGAGTTAAACTTCACTACAGAGAATGTAATTTGAAAATCACCATCTAAAAGCATATGGTAGAGGCACTGAAATTCTCCATTTTCTAAGTCAAACCTTTCGCATAACAAGAGGTTATAACCAGGCTCTTACCGGAGCCTGGTATGCATTGAAATCTGTGAAGTAATGGGCCTTCCCCAGTACATTCCTCAAAGCACAGAATTAGCATATTTATTCCCTTGGCATCACTAAAGAAACCACAGTTCAGATAACATGTCAATGCTTTCTTATTTTCCAAATGAAAACATTCATTGGTTCATAGAACAGTATCATTAAAGACAGAAAACAGGAAGCCTATGTCCTGCTAATAAACCATGCTAGGATGGGTAAAAGAAGCCTGTTAAAGTCTTTCAAATCTGTTACCACTTTCGTCAGGGGCTTCTCAGTTCTATACAATCCCAGACATCCATCAAGTCAATGGGTCTCTGCAATCATTTTGTTAGTAAATGTTCTCTCTGCTGACTTAGCTTGGATGGCTCATTGCACTCCTAATAGATAAAAAGAACGATCTATGCTCTGTACCTTCAACCCAGATATTGACAGTCACTTTATTTAATAGAGACTTGAAGTAGCACAGCTCAGGCTCTTTCACCAGGTAGTAACATTTCCTAGATACCTACACAAACGGAAAGCTGCATACAGAAGGAAAAGTATACTTACTGACCTCTGGTTAAGTTTCTCCTAATAGTATTTATTTGTAGACGATATTTAAATCAAGGAGTGAGAGCATTATTTTCAAAATTGCAGATAATCTGAGTTACTGATAAATACAATCCTGTAATCAGGATCCTAAACCCACCTCTAGGTGTGCCTTTCTAGATAAACATAACTGAAAAAAAAATCATATACTCATGTTTAGTATATATTATTGTGCCATGTAGCTGAGAACCAATAGCCATACCAAGAAAAGTAACTGTAGCTGTATTTTAATTCTTAAATTGACACTTTCCTTTGTACTGAAGATTATTAGTGGTTTTTAAAGATTTTTGACTTAATTTTAATTGGTAAGGATCCATATGTTTGGTTGAGAAAAATGCTTGAATGTTACAAGCCTAGCATTTCTTTCAGAGAGCAAAATTCAAGTATGTTTTCACTTACTAATTGACTCTAATCTCGGTAAGTGGATGCAACAGGGTAATTATGAGAGCGGAGCTGGCTCTCAGGCCAAAGGTCGGTTATTATTTTTTTCAGGGCTTGAGGAAAAAAAAATATTAAGCATAATTCATGACATTTCAAAATTGTTCTTCCTATTACAAACTTACCAATGGCTTATTTTTTCTCGGTACTTTTATAAATAATTGATACGTGTTTGGTGTTCTACAAAATCTTAACTCACAACAGAGTTGAATAATAGTTCTTAGAGATGTATATATCCCAATCATCCTTTACAGGTTACCTTGGGGGAAATTTTTCTTCCTGATGAAAATGATCACCCTCCCCAGGCACTGGGAGGATAAACACCCACATTATAGCAGGAGCTGGAGAATTCTGACCTCCACTGTGTTTTTGTTTTTTTTTCTTTCTCAGGGATTTCGCTGAGGGCTCAGGAGGCAGTCCTATAGGCTGGCACAATGTAGGAAGGCATCCTGTAAGGGGAAGGATTTAGCATGTGCTAGTAGTGGTTCATAAGTCCTATGCTTTAAAATGAACTGCCTGTGTACTATAGATAAGCAAATGCAAAGTTGCATGGAAAAAACAGTATTATATTCTTCGGAATCGACCTTGTGTTTTATTCTGGCCAAGAAACGTCGCATCTAATCTCAGCATGCCAGAGGGAATGCTAACAATGTAGCCCAAGGTAATATTCAGCAAATGTCACTAGTAGACAGTGAGCAATATATTAGTGTGACCTTGGGCCAAATCTGACCTCCATTTAAAACAAAAAAATTTAGCTCATACTAGTTAATATTTCAGTGTGTCTAAATCACTGACGGTTGATCTGTCCCAAACTACTTTTCTTTGTAAGAACAACTACTCATTTAAACTTGAAGGATGATCATGAATAGGAACTGAATGGCTAACTTAATTTTTAGATTTAAAAAAAAAATTTTACCAAAAGCATTGTCATTTCAGATGAACAGGATTTTACTTTTTTTTAATTTAAATTACCATAATATAGGAAGTCTCACTAGGAACAGAAGTTTGTATCTTCTATATTTTCTTCTCCTCTTGACTCTATATTCTCTATTATTTACTGATGACAGTGTCGAAAAACTATTAAAAATCTTCAAGATTACATTAGCTGACCCTGATATTTATTCAGTCAGCAAGGGGAAGGAACAGCATTCTTAATGTCTATTATGAAACTTACCAATCTCTCATTGCATTTATTTAATTTCCTTTAATGTCCATCTTTTGGAATAAAATTGCTAAAAATAACAATGTCATCCAATCGTGGGAATAAAATTGCTAAAAACAACAATGAAGTTGTATGAAAGGATGAGCGAGAAATAATACCAAATAGTAGAATATGCTAATCATACATAATCATCTTTCGAAATGTTTCTTTTGCTCTGATTATGGTTCCCCTTTGATCAAGATATGAATAATGAAGAACAACTTGACCATAGCTAGAAGAAAAGATTTCCTTAAGAAATTATGTCTGTGAACGTTTAGAAACTTGCTGATGGTCACTGTTGGGAAGTGCTACATTAAAGGCACAGCAGCACAAAGCATAACAGTAATTGTTTTTAAAATGTATTTCCTGTGACTATTCTATTTCAGTTTTCTCCTCTTTAAAATTTTTGCAGTATAACCTTTGATGATGTTGCTACCTGTGGCTGCCATTGTTTCTTATTTAATTTAATACTTCAGTAGGACATTCAGAATATTGTTCTCTCTGTTGAGCTCGGTGTAAAGTCTTGTATCAGATTTTGACTTACATATCTGCTTTTGGAGTGATAAGGGCAGAGGAAAAAAACAATCTGCAAAATATTTTTTTTTCTAATTGCCTACTGTTTAAGTAGCTTAGGCAGAGCTAACTTTGACAAATACTTGTTACACAGTCATGAAAGTCAAGCAGAGACTAGGAACTATGAAGAAACAAGAATGGACTGTGCTATGACTTGGGTGGGAGGTAGGGGTGATGTGGTTATAAAAAACAGGAAAGATAAATGACAAATGTAGTATTTCCATTTTCGAAGTAAGTGTAAAATTATTTACCAATGAATTATAAGTCCCATTAAGTAAGCTTACTAGAACACAGAATGGCGTTTGAGAGCTAATGAAGAAACTTAGGATATTAAAGCATAATTTTGAAAGTTAAAAATATAACTCTAATACGGAGGTAAAATAAAGTCAAGGATTTTATTCAACTCATTAACAAACGAGGGAACCAGTAAGATGTTAAAATTAGTTGAAAGAGCATTTGAGAAGCTAGTAACACAGACACCTATCTGAATATACAGGTGGGTAAGTCCAAGAGCTGGATACAAAACTAGTTTCGTGTCTCATATAGTACAATAAACTATAAACATTGAGGTTTTCTATTTCATTGGACAGATACTATTTGAACCTACTCAACAAAAATCAACAAATTAACCCCTGTACCTCAGAGCTGGGAAGTAACCACACTGACAAATCTAGTGCTGCACTGAATGAATAACCATTAATAGCCTTTGCCTATTTCCAAGTTTTGGATTTTCTGATGAGTCATATTTCAGTGTTTTACTTCCCCTAGTTCCAAGCATTATGTTACCAGTAGTTGTATGATAAAGATCCTACACACACCTAAAATCATATTAAGAATGATCTAAGTGAGTAACGGAAGAGCTCTGGAATGAGGCTGTGTTTTAATTATTCTTTCCTGTCTTTACTCTTTGGAGACAGAGTAATTCAGAGGCTGGATAGAATTAGATGATATGGAGGATAAATGTGAATAAGTGTGTGGCTGCCTTCAGCTAACAGTTCCCTATCTGACAGTTCTACAAATAATCTGTGAACGTGTGACTTCTTCCTTTTGCCCCCTGGGTGCTGTCATCTCTAGTGAGCATTTTCCCTCCCTTTCTGTAGTATATTACCCTAAAAGGGGAAATGTGCTTTTCAACAGTATTTCTGAAGATGACAAATCACGGATAATCTACTGTGTCTACATGCCTACCTCCTATTTGTTTTTGGCTATTAAATCTGGC